GGCGGTCCGATCAACTGCACATCGAGGTCTCCGGTGAGGGCTGTGTGGTTGTCAGGCAGGAGCAGCTGGAGGCTCATCGCTCGCTCCCCTGCAACGCAGACAACGGCAATGAAGAGACGCGGTGCAGCGACGAGTAGCGCATAACCAAATCTGAGGCTACTTCAAGACAATGCAGAGTCTTGGGCGCAGTTCCTCTCTTTCTTTGATTCGAAGAAAACGAAGTTCCTCGCACTCTCGCCCGACTGTCAGTATCTCACGGCAAATGCTTAAGTTTTGAAGGCGCCAACTTGATGAAGAAGTTTCTGATTGCAAAGTTCATCCGCCACAAACTCCAGTTACTTAATGGCTGCTGCAATCGATTCCACTTCCCCCTCCGACCGATCGCTTCCAGATCGACGACAGAATGCATCACATTTCAGTCGCCGCTTGATTCCGTCTCTTAGCTCAGGAATTCCGAATAACGTCGACGTCGACACGTCGAGAAGACAACTTGTGTCCTGTAGAGGGACCCCGAGAAACACCCTGGATGATGTCGGACGTGAGTGGGTTAAGCTTGAGAACAAAGGCGCCGGTTCATACCTTGAGTCAGATGAATCCTGTTCACGCGCTCTAAACCTGTTTAAGTAATATCAATTTTAATATCATCTTCCCCTCTACATCAACTTTCCTGAATGGCATCCTCTTCCCTTCGGTTTCTTCAACTAAAAATTTTTGTACGCGCGCTCCTCCTCCTTGATTTGATGACACTCGGAGGGAATTCGTCCCTCAGCGTGACTGACGCCCGTCAACCTGAACCAAGGGTGACGACAGTTGGTGCAACGCCTTCGTAGTCACGCCTCCGTCCCGGTCGTCTCGAAATTCCTCGGGGCGCAATACAGACCTCACTTGTTAAGCTTCTTGCTCTGTTCAGAGAGCTCCCCCCCCCTCCCTTCTCCGCCCGTTTTTACACGCATTGACCCCTTCTCTTGTTATAACAGTTCTTGTGCAATTCCTTCTTCTTTTGTTTTTAAAAAAAATACGCTTACTATTGTACAGTGCTGCCGCGGCGGAAATAATTGTGGCAAGAAGGAATGAGCGGTCCAAGTCACATGTTCCGAATTCAGAAAAAGTTAGGTTAAATCTGTCTTTATTTTTTATTTTCTTCGTTCCAAGATAGTATACAGCTTATAGATTTACTGAATTCCTCTTGTAACATGTGACTCCATTATTATACCATCTCTGAACACAGACAATACAGTTGAGTAGATTCTGTCTGTCCATCTGTCCGCACGTTTTATAATTGATCTACAGAATGAATTCGGATGAAATTTAGTTTTGGAAATGACTATGAAGCTGTGAGTTTCTTCGACACGTCGGTAAAATACGTCTCAGTTCATCCTTAGATGTACCTCAAATACATTTGCAATCTAAAAACATTAAAATATAAATGTGATTTTTGTTTTAAATGCATTTGTCCGTGCGGTGAATATTCAACAAAATACAGCGAAAGCAATTTGTGACTGTCAGCTCCGGAACAATGAATTTGTGTCTGTAATAAATACAGCGAAAGCAATTTGTGACTGTAATAAATTAACACCACTAACGCTGCGATGCACGGAACAGCGGAAAAGAGCCAGAGTACACAAACAATTCTACTCTTGAACCACGACATTTCACTCCATAAATACGTTCTGCAGTGAACTGCACACATAACGTCACATGTGCCACTGTAGCACTGCAGGTCCGACATTCTTTTACGACCGGAAGCATCAAATAGATCAGCACACTGCCCCCGGGAACAGGTAGCACCGCTCAGCGGCAAAAAGCGGAAACACGTGACGGCGTCATTTTTTTTATTTCTTGCTGCTGAATCCTGATTGGTTTCTCGCAGAGCCACGAGACGGCTCTCACTACCACCAACTTAATAAAACTTCACTGAATAAAATTCCATTAAATTTTGGTACTCCGTTTTGCAGACAAATCACTGATAACATCTGTGATTCTGATGACTTGGCCGATTGAGACGTCGCGGCGCGTTTGACGAAAGGGCGGCTGTTAACGCAGAAGCGACTGGACGAGTCTGAAAATTCCACGGATAAATTAGAATGTCAGTTCCAACACGAACCAGCGACATCTCGCTCACAGCCTGCGAAATACAGGCGATCGTAAGGCCACTTATTCGTGATTATTTCAGAAACATTATTACCCCACAATAAGAATGCGAGCCACTGATCTCGGCGCTCTGTTCCGAAACAAACGGAATCTTCCTTCTTCCACGTGACGTGGGGTCGTCGTGTTCATCGCTTCCATTCTGACCGATACGAAGAGGTCTCCGTAGGCCCCACCACGCCGTGAACTTAGACAGATTTATTTTTTCTATGAGACAATATTAACCAGCCCTTCGAACAAATGGCCATCAGGAAGACGGCGTTCTATGTCATTCAAGTTTCTCGTTCGCAGGTTCGAACCTTCCTCACCGAACAGTGTCGCCAACTGAAACAAATGAAACCGGGCGGAACAATGGCAGCCGCTGAACTACAAGTTGAAGCAACCGCGCGAGATAAGGCTCCATTATGCGCCCAATAACTTGTTGCTATAGGCTGCCCCAAAAACTGCGCACCGCTGCCATCTTCGCCGTGATACTAGTTATATCATAGCACACACAGACAGACAGACGGGATGACTCGACATGAGTGAAGGCCAATATCTTTGTGGCTCGCAGTTACAGAAGCCACGCGCCGTGCACTGTCGGCAACTTCTCTGACAATGCTGTGTGGCGGGAAGTATACACACAAGTGAATAGTCTTGGATCTGCGGGTCCGAGGAGTCGCAGTCTCATTTAGCAGCCCAAGGGACCGACGAAACGGTGAAGATCTCTAGGGTAATGCACGGAGTGGCCGAGGGCAGTTGTCGCTTGAATTGCCCTGATCAGA